CCCGCTGAAACCAGCTCCGTTACACATCTACCTATATGATATACGTGCTCTGTATGTGAGAACGAAACGACGACCAAGTGCGTGCGAGAAAGAAACAACGACGACACGCATGCGAAAAAGTGCGGGCGACTTCGTTTTTCTTTTTGTTCCGGACGAGATTTTTTTCGTTTATTGACGTCGAGACAAATAGGTTTACAAGGTCATCAAATTAGAAGGTCAAACCGGGAAAAACGAAATATCTATTATAAATACTAGATGTGAATCTCTGAAACATAGATCATTGCCTACTCACCATATTATAGCTTTCCAAGTATAAGCAAAACAAGCAAGGAACGCTATATAGGTATGTATATGATAACTGTATGTTGGACTAGGTTCTTACAACAACTCTCTCTATATATTATATAGAAATGACGGCCATCGAAAAGATAGAAGGCAAGTTACGGCGTATAGCAAATGTATTTCAACATCTATGACACCACAGCTGAACTCTCTAGCACACTTACATGAGTATCCTTCCATGAGACTTAAACACAGGAGAGAACTAGACTAGACTGCCTTAAAAATCATGCCTTATAAAAAAACATTCTAAAAATCTGTACTTATTTAATATTAAAATAACCACATATGTGACGAGCTCCAGCAAAACCAGGATTAAGTAGGAAATGCTTTTGAGATAAAGCGTTCCGGGTAATAAGGGGCCCAGTCGGGGATAAGCGGTCAGGGGCCGGTCTGAAGGATGAAGGAAAAAAATGACCATAATAATCTAGAGATATCTGAACCTATATATCCGAATTAAATACGCACTTAGGAATTTATTTTTGTAAAAATCTCATTTTTGTCCAGGTAGGCCATTTTCAGCATTGACATGTGTGCATTACTCAAAACAATGACTTGCGACTTAGTCTGTATTATGCTGGAGTGGGTCACATATATAGAAGTAAACCACGTGTCCAGGAACTGAAAACATATGTGTTTTTCTCTCAATCTTTCTACAGACACCTGTACTGTTCTCATTAAAAACTGCTCTATTTTAACGCGCACCAAGCAACACGAGACACTGACACCACACGATCAATATATTGTTTTATCGGGTCTCTTCTAAACTACGTTATTCACGTGACGCCACAGCAAAGTTACACAGCAAAGTCAATGCACAATTCTTGCGATCTAACATATCGCGCACCACCACCGTGACAACCCGTCACGCGCCGTCGCAGCGACAACCCATCACACGCTGTCGCCATGACAACCCATCACGCGCCATCGCCGCGACAACCCGTCACACGGCATCGCCGCGACAACCCATCACGCACCATCGCACGCCGTCGCCACGACAACCCGTCACGCCGTACCTGGAAACTGCCTCGCCGCGTTCTCGATCTCGGCGAGATCGACGCGGTGACCGCGCACCTTCACCTGCGCATCCGTGCGGCCCTCGAAGACCAGCGAGCCGTCGTCGTCAACGCGCGCAAAATCGCCCGTGCGAAACAGCGCGCAGTACCCAGGCACGTCGCAGAACGAGTTCCGAAGGAAGCGGCGCGCGTTCTCCTCGGCGGCGCCGACGTAACCCGCGGCGACGCTGAGCCCCGCGACGTACATCTCTCCTCGCTCGCCGCGCGCGACCGCCGTCATGGCGTCATCGAGAAGGTAGACGATCGTGTTGTAGATCGGGCGGCCGATGGGAACGCCGCCGCCGACGCCGGGCGCGGATTCGAACGTCGCGTACGTCACGTCGCCCGTCACCTCCGTGCTGCCGTAGAAGTTGCAGATCGTGCGGCCGCTCGGGAATCGCACGAAGAACTCGCGGAGGAGTTCGGCGGAGAGCGTCTCCCCGCTGCAGACCCACAGCCGCAGCCGGGGCAACCGTGGCTTCCCCGTCCCCGCGGGAGGGAGGAACGCGAGCAGCATGCGCAGCAACGACGGCACGAGGACGAACCGCGTCACGCCGCGAGACTCGAGAACGTCGACGAGGGCGCGCGGGTCGCGGGTCGTCGCCGCGGCAACGACGACGACGGGCACGCCGCGCAGCAGCGCGCCGAAAACCTCCTGTAGGTGGTCGACGAACGTCGTCGACGTCTTGAAGCAGCCGATCTGGCCGTCCATCGCCGAGCGAAAGAGAAAACTTCGTCACAAAATGCCAGCAGAGCCGGTTCATGATGACCTTGTGCGGCAGACGCACGCCCTTCGGCCGCCCCTCGCTGCCGGACGTGTATAGCACGCAGGCGAGAAGCGGAGTGCGGTAGTCGTGCGGCAGACGCTCGTCGGGTTTCAGCGTCGCCCGCGGAAACGCCGTCGTCGTCGGCCGCCAGCTCGTCGTACGTACACGGGAGTCGGCGCTGCGAACTGGCGCTCCGCGTCGACGAGGGTGGCGTCGCGCCGGTCGGCGAGGATGCAGAGCGGGCGCGCGTCGTTGACGACGTACGCGATACGGGCGGCGGGGAACAACCCGGATCGACAGGGAGGTACGCCACGTCGATCTTCATCACCGCGAACAGCGCCACGACGAGACGCTCGCTAGGCGCCATGTCGACGACGACGACCTTGTCGCGCGACGCCGTCGCCGCGACGTCCGCGCACTCGCCGATCTTACCTGCCAGGCGGCGCGCGAGGCGGTTCGAGCGGCGGTCGAGCTCGCGGAACGTGACGCGCGCGCCGTCGCAGAACAGCGCGGTTCCGTCGAGGAATGCGTCGTCGCGTTGTTTGTCGGCAGAGGAGATGAGCGCGGCAAACATGTCATGGAGACGTTGGAACTCCGGAAGCGGTTCGCACTTGCCGCAGAGCTCGGTGGACGCGCGAGGAGGCCTGCTGCCATCGCGACGCGTGGTCCGTTCGCTCGGATATCTCGCCGCTTGTCTGTCGTGCAACTTCAATGTATGAGTTGAATAATTTCATCGGGATCTCTATAGTTGAAAGTAATACGTTCCCATGAAAATCAAAGTGTTATCTCAGTTTAGATCCAAAACAATGTTATACTCTATAATACGTTACTGACACTGACGAAACTTTGTCCATTCTCTCTATAGACTTCCTAGAGAAGTTGACAAGTTAATTAGACAAGCCTTCAGTTAGTTTAGAGACAAGCTTGTACTTCATTAACCACTACATTTTTTATTAGAAACGGCCAAGTTGGCAACCGGCAGTTAGGATGC